GCACTTAAGCATTTGCTTAAATTTAAGCATATGTTATCCCATTGGGTCAACAGCTTGCTTGATTTATCACTCAATAAAAAATAATGTTTCCTACCTAAGGGGCCTTTATTCACGTTTTGTTGATAAAAATGGCCTTTGTTTAGTCTGGGAAAAGGTTATTAATCTTAGCCATCTGAAATGTGGATTCCTTCACGGAAAGCCAACCCTGGCCCAGGGGAGCCTGCGACCAAGCGGGACCGCTGTGGGGCCAGGGGCAGGTCCATGCACAGAAGGGTTGCGGTGGTGAGCCGACACTGGGCCCTGTTCAAAACCAGGTTATGAACCTGCCTCACAGGTGTCGCCTGAAATTAGTGGGTGTGATAATGGTCGAGGCCATTTTAATCACAGAGGTTTTGCTCAGTAGCACTGGGACAGCTGCAGTTGGACTGCCAGCCTTTGTTTCTTCTAAACCAGAACCATGGGGACTCTTGTTCGTTTCCTGGGGTAAATTGTCCATGTGTATTTCCAGTTGACGGTGTGCTGGCGTGGCAGTCCTATCACCTGATGCACGGACTAGCAGAAATTGCAAAAATCACATCTCTCAGTAGATGACATTATTAAAAAAAAAAAAAGCCTAACCCATAGTTATAAAAAAAAAAAATATCCTGGTTTTAGTGGATGATGCAGTTACTAATGGATTCTGTTGCAGCTAAAACAGACACAGAATTTCTGAATCTGAGTAAATTCTCAAACCCTGAGAGCTACTCTTCCATTAAATCCAAAGACAGTTAATAGTACCTAATGATCATTGCAAATATAGCATGAAGCAAGCGTGTTCTCTCCTCCCCCACTAATCAGAGGAATATTTCCAGAGAGCTTCAAATAAAAAATATTTTTAAAATGATTGCTGGTTTTGCTGTTAATGAACTACAATGACATTGTACAACTACAATGATCCAAATATTCTTACAAGTTTATCAGTACTTGGATTAAGGAAAGGTTGTATTATTGCAGTTCATGCAAGAATACGTTCTTCAGATACACTGTTCAGGGGTGGTTTTTTGTTACGAAAATTTTTGGCATAAGGCAAACCAGAAGGAATTTTAAGATCACTCTTGTAATGACAAAGCAGGAGGAAGAGCAGGCACTGCACAGTCATGCCCAGTTAGCAGATATTTAAATTACAAGTTCCAGAATAGGGAAAAGGTTGCAAAAACATTCTTCTACAGCTAGGCTTGTATTTTCATCTGGGCTTGGAAAGGTGTGTGTATATTCACTTACTGCATTGTTTTCCTTGTTCATGCAAATTGTATTCACTTGGCTTCAACCAAGCTTATGTACTTGTAAAAAAAAAAAAGAAAAAAAACAAAAAAACCCACACACAAATTTTGTAGCACTGCCTGATCATATACTGTTAATAGACATTTTGTCATTTTGGTTTATGCTTCTATAAGAGGTGTAAGTAATTACTGAAATAATTGTCTTTTGAATTAAAACATGATGTTAAGAAGAAAAATTTATGCAAACACTGAGCTAGACTGGTGCCCATGTTCTTTGAGCTGCTCAGCTGTAGCAGGGTGCCTGAGCTCTGAGCTGCCGAGAGAGGTGCTGCTGCCTGACCTCAGCCTCTTCTGAAACGTGGAAAGATGCGTTGGCGAGAGATGCTTATCGTATGTAACTACGGGTTAAAGACTAAGTCTCATTCAAGTAAAAAGAAAATAACCACTTTTGATATTAAAACGCTTAAAAAGCATACCATGATGGTGTCTACAAGTAGAACACAGAAGCAAATCTTAAATGTGTAATACTGCAGCTTTAACCCTTCAGTCCATTCCAATTTCTTTTTCCAGATTCTTGACATCATAAATGTAGAGGAAGCTGATGATGTCCCATCACAAAGTAAGGCAAGTTATTTCAAAAGGTTATGTTTGCAGAAAAATTGTTTTGTTTTAAACCTCTCGCAACTCAGAAAAGAGCCCCCGAGTCATCTAATACTTAAAGTATTAGAGTATTATTATGACTTTCTCATAGCTTTTATTAGGGGGACTTCTGTGAGCATTTTTGAGAGGCCATCAGTAGCTGAGGCTCATGAATGCTTTGTTTCTGGGCAGACAAATTCGCTGAGCTCAATAGACCTGCCTGGTGTGGGCCTGAATTTCACATTTCTGAAAGAGCGATATAGTTTGGTTTTGGTGGGGTTCAGATCACAGGCAAGGCAGCGCTAGAGGAAAGGAGAGGTGTGGAGACAGCAGCAAGTCCTCACCAGCTCTCCCTTGGGCTTACCTGCGATGTCCGAGAGGATGGGGCTGCAGCGGGCGGGCAGGTGTGACTTCAGGCGGTGACGGTGGAGAAGGCAGCAAGAGCTGCAGGAAATCCGTCTGGTGGCACCGCCTTTGGCTTGGGCAGGGCTGTGATGGCACCGGTGCGGGGAGAGGCAGCCCCACACACACCGGGGGTACGGTAGAGGAAGAAGGCAGCCCCACCAGTGGCTGGTCCTCCCTCCTCTCCGGCACAGCCCGTTCCTCCTCCAAATGGGAGAGGAGGATGCAAGGGCAGAGAGCTGGCATGGGGAAGGTAGGATAGACCGTGGCATAGCAGCTGAGAGACGGAACAGAAAGATCTGACCCAGATCAAGCACTGACCCTCCTGGAGATCTTAGGATATTTTACCTCACATCACAGTAAAAATAAAAATACTCTTTTTTTCTGAACGCTGCTTGGAAAGCTGTAGAAGCAGAGTGATACATGCCAACTAAACAAGAAAACTATTATAATCAAGTGATACCGTAAAACAGAGAAACTTTGTAAACAATTGGTCTCATACAAAAAATGTACTCATTTTATAAAAAAAATGGAAGCCGTGTAAACCTGCTGAAATAATGTTAAGGAGCTAAAATTATACTACATGGAACAAAAGACTCTGCATCCTCTATGTAAACACAACTATTTCTAGTGCTCATTTCCCATCCCCTGTGAGAAACTATGTTAATTCCTTGTTCCTTTGGTTTTATTTACCAACCATTTCTGTTGGGACTCTCCATTTTCTTAACCAATGAGTTGCTGTTAATTCCTGAGAGTTTTTCCTAGCCAGTCTGAAATAGGATGGTAAGTTAAGTTCCGTATATTAATGATTGATTAATTTTTCTGCTAGCAGAATTTTAAAGTACGCTTCTTCAATACACCGTTCCTGTCCTCCTTATAATTATGTTTTCTGTAAGACATGGGAAAATGATCTGTGAAATCAATACCAAACAAACAAACAGCTCTACGCACAGATAGAAAATAACGGTGCAGGGGGAAACAAATGCAGTAAAACTTGCTCAAACTTTTAAGGGTTCATTTATTCGGTTGTAAAAGAAAGCAATTGTGATAACATTGCACAGCATAGTCCTGTATGGGCTTTTCCCCCCCATGTTCCTGGGTTGAAAGAGAGGCTAAGAAGTACTGCTTTAATATATTTGGGCCGATTTCATTCTTGGTGTTTCTAAGACAGGCTAGCTGTAGGAGTTACCCTTGTTTCAGTGTCACCCTTTCTATATTATCTAGACACTATTAGCTACAGCCAAGTAGTGTTTAATTAAACTCCGTGAAGTCTGGTATTTATTATTGCTGTGTCCAGCTACTTTTCATCTTCATTTACTCTGTAAACATTTAATGGGCAAGAACATTCCTTATGGATTTTAATTGAAAAATCTTATTGGGAACTGTTGGGCTAAAAAAACCCAACAGCCCAACGTATTGCAACATTGAAAGTTTATGCAAGGTGATCCAAGGTTGGTAGTAAAGCAGGTGGCCAAAAAATAAGAAGGGGATATGCCTCCATGACATCTCTCTGTCTTGCCAATCAACTTCTAAAAGCAATTGAAGTTTTTAATGGAAGAATGAGATTTGGTTTTAGTTAGTCTGAACTTGAAGTGCTTTGAAGCTAATGCACAGCTTATACGGCCGTTGATCACTTATCAATCACTACCATTTATCATTTATTGTTTACTGGAGGATTTTATTAAATATATACACAAAATTCCAAAATGTTCATTTGTCTTGTTCAATATATCAAAGCAAAGCATTAGGGGAAAAAAATCATATTGGGTCTTCCTACATTTTCTTGAAACCATTGAATGAACCACTGGTAACATCCATCTCCTTTTAGGCCATCAGTTAATTAAATTTTGGCAACTGATAGACAAATAATCCCACAACTTTAAAAAGGACAGCATAA